GTAAGAAACACAGCGTGTTCTGAGGATCACAAACGGTCTGGCAAAGCAAGAGTGAGGGTCAGAAGGAAGATACATCGAATGAGTCCAAACAATTTGTCAAGATTCAGATCACAAAAGAAATTATTTGCATTATTAAAGAAATGCCCATCATGAAATCGTCCTCATATTGATGTCATTGTACCTCTGGTATTGGCAGGCTGGTGGTACAGAGAAATGCACCAGGGTGTAAGAATTGACAGGAAACATGTGGCACTTTTTCCAGAGGTGGCAATTTTAGCTGATAATTTGAAAGAAAGAAAAATTGCTAAATAAAAATTGCTAAAATATATTATGGAAGGGAATTCAGACCCGACATACCTTTTAAATAATTTTTTTCAATGAACACCGAAATTCTGGCTGGTCATTTAAAGGAATGCCCCAGGAGCTTGGAGTTAGAGTCTATGTACAACCCCATATTAAGAATAGGGATGGGGGCATACAGAGAAACACAGATAAGGGAGGAGCAGATACCGAGAGACTCAAAGAATGAAAGTATCACAGAGTTCAGATTTGAGAAGCATTAGAGAGGATGAAGTGGAGATGGAGGGAGACAAAATAGAGTGAGATTCTTTATAGAATTACTGCAGAAGTATGTGCACGGGTGAAGAAATGAACGATGGCAGAAGCAGTGAGGCTACACAACAGACACAGAAACAGCACCTCTAATAATCCTGGGTTCCAACTCTCTGATTTGCAGCCCAGTGTTATTTACTCTCCACCCATTCATTTACTGAGCATTTGAGAGTTTAGTATGTGCCATCTGACTAAAAGCCAAGTTCTATATAATCAAGATCAAGAAGTTATGAAGCTTTGGGAGGCTGGGGACCTTCAGTCATTTCTAGTATCTACACTGAATATAGAATAAAACTATATGTACTAGTTTTAAAATAATAGAAAACAAGATTTCTAGTGCCTATCAAAAAGTCTATAATTAGTAAACATTCATCGAATGAGTGAACTCAGTTTTGATAATGTTCTTTCTCAAATATGACTAGAAACAAAGTTGAGAGAATGAAATGGAAGTGACTCTGGGTAAAAAGAGGTCTTCTCTACTAAAGCGACAAAAGCCACTAGCAATAAATCACTCTTTTATAGCATGTAAAGGAAAATTGGATAATTTTCCCACTAAACATTGCCAGTAGCTATTCTAAGAAATGTTCTCCATTCCTAATCTTTCTAAAATGAATTTTTAAACAAAACATTAAAAGTGTGCTTTGAAAAATCAGTTACAGAGAGCATGATAATGGTCACTGGCCAGCACACAAAGCTGTGTAATGTGGTGGTTTACTGGTCCTCCTACTTTGGCAAGGCATTTATGAGTGCAGAAAGTTAATCAAAAATTACCACCACATCCCTAGGCCATGTTTTCTTAAGTAAACATTCTGGATCTTTAAATTTATCCATAATCTGCTTTGGCAGTTATGAAAGATATGAAAATCCCAGGAGAAAGCTTTTACAAAATACCTCTTAGTATGATAGTATGTGTTCTACTTACAAATTAAAGCAAATAAGATCAATAATTCAGGTACAACTTAATGTCATTCAAGTATCCCATGCTATTAATATAATGCTTTATATATTATAGAACCTTAGTGTTTGCAAAACGTATTTGAATAGTGCTTTCATTCAGTCCTCAAAAGCACCCTTTGATATAAGCAGAGAAGACCTTTCTTTCATTTTACAAACCAGTAAGCCAAGGCTCAGAGTGCTTACAAAGCCCATTCCCATTTAACTATATACTGGCAAAATAATACTCATTTCTTGTATTTTATCTAGGCGCGATAGTTTTGAAGAATGGTGGAATAACTGCTAATAAAACATATATATTCATGAATTCATTCTTTCTGGAATCCAATAAATGCTTACTTTTCATTTGCTGTGCCCTCGGTTCCCTATTCTGCCCTGCAATAAATGCACAAGGTAGACACAGTCCTTCCTCCATGAGCTCACAGTTTATGGCACATTTATATCTCTATACATAAATAGATCAAATATACTTTAACACCACATGTATATGTGCAGTGTTTTCCTTCCTTGTTACCTATTTGTTAGATATTTCATTATATCCTCTGCTACGTTACAAGTGTTTGCCAGACCACATGGAGCTTGCTACAGTTGATTCTATACACTGCTGCTCTCATTCTAAAAATTTACCCATACAGAAATTTCTGGAAAAAAAAGAAATTTCTGGAAAAAAGAAATTTCTGGAATAACAAAGAGCTTTGTAGAAATCTTAAAACATGCCTCCTTCATCTGATCAATTATAATATTCCTGAAATGACAGAATTTTTTTTAAAAAATGTTAAATTTTAAGAGAGCATCTGCAGTTTTTGGCAAAGAGATTTTGAATATATTCCAGATATATCTTAATTGCTATAGATATCATAGTAAGGGAGGAATGTTAGAACTATTGGGCAGGAAAATAATCTATTTTTAAGCCTCTTCATGGATTATAGGCATTTATCTTGATTTTTCTCCCTTCCTGAGATTTTTTTTTTCTCTTGAAAGCTTACCATCAACATGAATCATTCAAAATAAACCACCGACTTAAGCCTGAAAAAATAAATCACAGAAAAAGGAAGTCATATTCATGATCAATACAAAGAATAGTACTAAGTATGAGTCAGGTGATCCCTCGTACATCCATCACCTTACAACCTGGTGGATAGAACCCAGAGGCTTCCTCTTGTGGGTCTCAAGCTATATAGAGGAACATTTTAGCTAATATACTGGACTTCAAAAACTGAAGCAAATCTAAACATGCTTTTTTTCCTCATAACATATGGTAGATTGATCTGCACCAACATAACTTCAAATTCTATTTTAGTTGCTCAAATTTCACATTGCTTGAAACATGTACATGGAAGTTTAATAGGAAAGTATGGTTTAGGGGATAGACTAGAGAATTCAGAGATTTTGTGATCTTAAGGTTTTTATATAAAAACGAGGCTTGGTATAGATGTTGAAAGATGAAGACATGATTATCAAAAGATGTGGGGAGCAGATAAAGCTCAGTGGTAGAGTGCTTGCCTACCATGCATGAGATTTTGAATTCAATCTTCAATAGTGGAAAAAAAAAGAGGAGGAGGAAGAGAAGAAAAACAGAAAGCAAAGAAATGGGAGGAACATAAAATGGAAGTGTGTGTGTGTGTGTGTGTGTGTGTGTGTGTGTGTACATGAGCACATTAGCACATGTGAATGCATGTGTGTGAAACAGCTCTGGAAACTTCCTTAAGACTGGAGGAGACGGTTTTCCCTGGAATATGAGAGTAGCTTAAAAGTAATCTTTTAGGTGAGGGATTTGAAGGTTTTATAGTAATATTTTGGTGTAATTGACATATCTTCCAATGATAAGCTTCATGCATGGAAAAAGACTTAGAGGTCAAGGAAACTGCCTGCTGAAATAATGATGTTGGGAGAAGGAAGGAGAGTTCCGTCAGTACTGTGTAGTCATGAACAGAAGAGGTCAGAATTCATGTCTTAGCTAATTGGCCAAATAGCCAGCTGTACAGAAAGCTATAAAATCCAAGTAAGACTTCTAATCTCTGTATTAATTCCATCTTAGTATAAAATGATCTCTCTGCTATGTACTGTCTAAAGTCCTTCCTCTCTCTAAAGTTCTGTGTCACTATGAGGACTAATATTCTAAACTGGGACAAACAAGTAAAAGCCTGCCCACCATCTCAGAAAGACTCCACTTACTTCCAGTTAACACACACAGAAATTTCTAGATAACCTGCCTTTTTTGAAAGCATTTTCTGGGGTGCTTCCTACTGTGATCCTTTCCCTTAGTGTGACTTATTACTGTCCCACTACTTGCCTTGGGCCCCACTGCACTGACACGTCCATTCTTGTTTTATTTTAGCCAGCTTCACTTATTCCAGTGAGCTTCTCTGACTCATTTGAAGTCCTGGTTTCACAAATATGTTGTTGCTGCTCTTTATCTCATCCAAGGCATCATTAATTCAGAAGCCCCAAAGCTGGAGTCTTGATTCCTTTTTGATTAACTCCATCAGAAATGGAGCTGCCAAGTTTATTCAGACTGTGATTACAGGTCTCCCCTCCCATCTGAGAGCAAGGTTGCCTTAAAATTCAATAGGCAATATTAACCACTGAATCACAAAACTGTGATTTTGATGACATTTTCATTAGTTTCTCAAAGTATTTTTTCCTTACAGACATGTAAACAAGGAGTGATTCATAACTGCTCACTTTAGCCCACGAAGACATGAATATTATTTTAGTTTCAATGTTAGACCTAGAAGAGCCTTTGAAGTAATGCCTGGTATGCTAAATCCTCCCCACATCATCATAAATTTGGAATTTTTGAAGTTAGGAAAATGGTAAAGGCAGCTGAAAGTGCTTGTTTGCAGGTGATATGTGTCATTGTGCCTGATTATGATGCCCTGCTTTGTGCTTGGGATGTGCTTACCTGTACAGAAACAGGTACACATGTACAAGTGTCTTTGCCACAGCATATGCAAGTAACAAAACAATGTGGTTTGCTTTTCCTGTCCTCAAAAATGCCATCAATCCTCTGTTCACATAGGCAGCACCTGTTTATCCCATCTCCTGGCCTCTGGCAGTACAGTGCTTTAATTAACTATGCATCCAGGTCACTGTGAGCTCCTTGCCTTCATGGCATGTCTGTTGTACTCTTGTCCCATGATTGTGGCTGTGTCACTTTATGTTGTGGTCAGTATGAATTCTAGGGAGAATTTCTGAGCCATTCTTTCATATTACAACTACAAATGCAAGACACCGCCCTGGATCCTAGGTGAGAGGTCTGCAGCCCACATGGTAGCACATTATTTTCCAGAGAGTGACAAACTTCTGTTTTGTCTTACAATATATACTTTTGATCTTCAAAAAGCCCTCTTGCTTATCTAATTAAGGTTCATATTTATGTGCTGTCACAAAACGCTTTGAAATGTTATTATTTGTTCTTTCTCTTTTTAGAAAAAAATATGGAGCGCTGCACAAATTTGCATATCATCCTTGCACATGGCCCATACTAATCCTCTCTATATCATTCCAGTTTTAGTATATGTGCTACCAAAGTGAGCACCATTTTTTTTCTTTCTTATAGGTAGCCTTTTCTACTTACAACTAGACCACTGACTAGTCATAAAAGACCATGTTAATCCTTACTTTAGAATGTCCTTTCTGTTCCATCCATTTCTGGCAAGATCTCCACAATTCAAAGTCAGTCTTAAATTCCACCTCCTCCAAAGAAGCTGTTCCTGATGCCTGAATCTAAAATAACTAGTATTTATGGAGATCTTTATGAATGATTTGCATACATGAATGAATGATCCCAGTCAATGGGCTTTTCCCTTCCTTCAGTTTTCCAGATATTCTTATAACATTTAAAATGGAATTTGCATTATTTATATTCTTGTCATTTTAATTCATTGTATGTTTCTTGTCTCTTTCCTCAGGTACTGCAATCTAATTAATAAACAAAAAGCATATCCTATTCATCTCTATAGCCAGATATATATGTACATTATATACATATACATACACATACATAGCTTATAGTATGTACTTGACAAGTTTCTGTTTAATTGTCTAAAAAAAATTACATCTTAGTTGTAAATAAAGCCTGTTTATGGTATAAAGAGATCACAAGTAGTCCTTGAGGGTTTCATTGCTATCTAAGTACAGCACACCTTTGCAATAAAAAGTTTTAGAGTCAGTTAACTTGTAGACTTCATTATATTTCACATCCTGCCAAGTCTTTGTCCACATTTTCAATCATCTGGCGTTTGTCTTTTCTTCACACCTATAGCATACTTTTTTTTCTGATGATAATATAAAATTAAAGAGGAAACACTGTAAGAAGTCTAATTAAAAGGTGTGTAATACCTCATACATCTCATGGAAAGAACGTATATTTATTTTATATTCTAGAACTCTGAAACCTAAAATTAACTGTAATCACGTGGCTCTGGTTGTGTCTTCCAGATTTTCTGCTATAAAGATTCTACTTTTCTCTTGGAATTTATAAAACATCTTTATCTGAGAGATTCTTGAGGATTGTATAAATATCTTCTCTGATGTTGTCCACTTAACTTGAACATCTATCCATAAATCTTTCCTGAAACTAATATTGCTGTATAATTTGTTCTAGGTTGGTTTTCTGTTTCTATTTCCTTCTTAGTTTTACTAATATACTCAAAGGAATAGCATTCTTATTGTCTCCACTTAAATTCTTTAATTATTTATTTGTGTCATTATAAACTACTCAATATTTCTTTTATCCAGTGGTTTATGGCCCTTTGTTATTATTCTGCATTTTGTTGTTTAAATTATAGCCAATTTGACCAATTGCTTATGAAATGAGGTTGACTACTGTGTCCTTTCAACATGTCTGTTCTATTCAGATTCATGTTGAACTCAAGCTGCACAACATCAACATTCCAAATATATTTCCAGATGCATCACTGATAATATAGTAGTAAGCATAGATTCCTTTCAAATATATTTACTGAAATGGTTTCTTATTGCCAAGGAGGCATTTTTATTTTTCACATGTTTCTCAACTCTTGTGAATAGACTTTGTATATAGTATTTTACATTTTTAATCTATTTTCTAATCAGTATGTAGAGGAGAGAGCTATTTTTCATGCTTAGTTTATTAATGTTTTATGATAATTAAATGAGCAAATATATGTACAATGTTTAGAATGGTTCCAAGTAGAAAGCATTAACAGGGAATTATTACTGGTCATTTTTCTATTTTTAAATTTATTTTGCTATTATTGTGAATTCCTTTTAATTATTTTCTTTACGTTTGAGTTGTTGATATCTTCTAAAATGTTTTGTTGAAACATTGATTCACTTGACTTCCATCTATTACATTGAATAACTAATATTTGTATAATTTAGATAGTGTTTTGTAAAGCAGAGTTTGATTCAACTGAGAATCTGTAAGGAAGAGTTCACATATATTCATATGTGAAATCAGTGTGTAAAATAATTACCTCTAGAGAAGATAGCTTTTAATATAGCAGGAAAGTTCAGCACAGCTGGATGTCTCCTTTAACTTAAACATGGTTGTTGCAGTAATGAGCATTTTCAGAACATTAGAACATGTCTCAATGACATGTAGGGTCAGACCTGAGAGCATTCAAAAGGAATTCAGTGATAATGATCTTCCTACAAACCAGCACAACCTTGCAATCCACAAAGGGCCAGTGACCTTTGGCTCTTTATGTTTATGTTGTTACTAAAAATTTACATACATGTGGCTTGGCAAAGGGCAAAAAGATAAGCACCTACTCAGTGGCTAATCTTGTTGATCTTCGTCTTCTTATTTAAATTTCAGTGTCAACTTCTCATCCAAATATATTTGTGTATGTGTGTGTACATGTGTATTTATGCACATATGTATGCATTATTAAAAATCTTTAGAGGTAATTCTATATAAATCAATTCCATAACTGACTTATTATTTGTATTTTGATATCTGAGACCTACATAGAAAGTAATAGTAGTAATTCTGTGGAAATGTCATGATTCTATATTTTTTCTTTACTTCTACATAAACAGAAATATATAAAAATGATGAACTTAAAAACTGATCAGGTTTCAAATTCTCCAAGTTCAAAGTTCTTGACTGTGATCACTAAATCTGATAACATACACTTAGGAAGAATAATCAGAACTTTTATAAGTTATAACTGAGACCTGTCAGTGTACATATTAGAAAAATGTTGAATGAAGAGGTCTGTTCAAGATAAAATAGATTCCTTAAAACATCAGTGATGGTGATGACATTTAAAGTCTTTCCTATCCAGATACATTTACAGCACAACTGGTATGTAAAGCTTCTTTTCTATTTATTATGAAAGAGGTTCATCCCAAGTGGTACCTTTCAAATAATCCAATAGAGCAATTTTAGCAACAGGTAATTATTTACTCATTATGGTGATTTTCATAAGTGTCTCTTTTTAAGCTGAAGGAAATACCTGGGGAGCTTCAGTCAGCCTGAATAAGAATTCTTGTCGATTAAAACTATTGGCATGAAGTAAATTAGTTAAAACCCAACAAATTTATACAGTGATCTGTCAAGCCTCCATTAACACACCTGCATGAAAATGACATTTGGTGTGGCATTGGGTAGATGGTTTAGGAATGTTTTGACAAATATTGAAGGAGATCATGTGAGGTACTTAGTACCACAGAAAGTTTAATTTTTGAATCTGAAAATTCGGTTATAAACTAATAATGGAAAAAAGAGTAAAGGTCCACATCTTTGTTTCTCTGAAGTATAGCTTGCTCAGCTACTAGCTACTGAGTAGTCCCCACATATTTCTCCTTGTAGTTTACTTTCCTCCACATCTCCAAAACCTAAGCCTCCACATCTCCAAGATATAACATCTTGAGAATTTGAAATATTTGGGGAATTGTTTAACTCTTCTCCATCAGTAGATTCTGTTATGCTGTAAAAGATTTAAAAAGGCATAAAGCCAATTCCAAAATAGGGTTGGCTTATACGGCACCACTTTATTTCATATTCTTTGTGCCTATCATGGTTTGAGGGCCAGTGTAGACCTCACACTTGGTTCAGAGAAACCTCCTTATCTGAAATAATGCCTATACAATACCAGAGAAAAAGGGATGGACAGCCGTATGCAAGGTCATAAATGCTTTTTGTCAAGAAATGACACACATCACTTCCACTAATTCTTCCAATTGTATGAGAAATTGCATCAGTGAACCTGACTTCAAGGGAGCAAAACACCATCATGCTTATTTTGGAAAAAACAAGCAGTAATGTACTGTGTGTCCTAAACGTAGTCTGCCATCCTTTCTTTTGTAATCAAATCCAGTCACCAAATTGGAAAAAAAGAAATCTATGATACTTCAAGTCTTCATTTTTTAAAAAATGTACATTTCTTATTTCTTGGGGGTGTGTGTGATATACTGATGTCATAGAAGACAAGTGGAGATCAGAGGGCAACTTGCAAAAGGCAGTTCTGTCCTTCCACATGAGTCCTGGGCATGCAAGTCAGGTTGTTATTCCTGGTGGCAGGTGCTTTTACCACCTAAGCCTTCTTGCTGACCCAATCCTTTCGCAGCCACTTAGAATAATGGCTGACATTCTTTACTGATAGTTATCTACATTAGTTATTTTTCTTAGTGATAAATGACTTATCAAAACCAACTTGGGGAAGAAAGGGTTTATGTCATCTTGCAGCTTCTAAGTGACAGTCTATCACTGAAGGACTTCAGGGCAGAGACTCAAGGCAAGAACCTGGAGGCAGGAGCTGAAGCAGAGACCATGGAGGAGCACTCCCTACTGATTTGGTCTGCTCACCCATGCTCAGCCTGCTTTCTTATATAACTCAGGACCCAATGGTGGCACTACCCTCAGTGGGCTGGGTCTTCCCATCCCACTCAGCAATCAAGAAAATTTCTCATAGGCATGCCCAGAAATTCACAAATTGAAGTTCCATCTTTCTAGGTGTGTCAAATTGACAACTGAAGCTATCCAGCACACTGTTCTAGTCTGACAAGTCCCAAGTAAAAATCTCTGAAGTAGGTCATAGCTTTGTTTCTCTTCTTTATCTTATACATCTGCCCATGCAACTCATTCATTGTACTTTGCATTCACAGTATAAATAATTCAGAATTGTTTAGAACCATATTTTTCTATCCTTTGAAACATAAAAAGAGAATTCATATTTACAGTGGGATTTGTACCATGACATGCTTTAAGAGCCTTCCAAATTTCCATTTCTTAATTTTAACTAGTCAGAAAAAATTTCAGCTCCACTTAAAATGAGGAGGAAGGGAAAGCAGAGATGGAATGGATATCCTATTTGTATTTCCCATCATGAAGGAACCATAATTAGAATTTTAACACACATTGAGAGATCACGAGAGAAAATTATGTATTAGTAGTGGACCAATAAAAGGCATATGATTAAGGCCAGATGACCTAACAAATGATAAATAATGTATTAAGAGTAGTGAATGGGTTTTTCAATGCTTTGGGGAAAGCTTTGAAGCTTCTCAGTGACCCATGTATGTCATTGTTTCCAGAAGGTCTCTAAA